TTATCTCAAATTTGAATACACTGAGGTTTAACTGAGAAAATACTACTACTACTACTACTGTAATAATGAAGGAAAGCCTGATCCGTTAGATGAATTTTTAAATTATAATCGCTCGGGATTCAGTTTATGTGCTCCTAATACCTGCTAGCTAAAACTCTTTCATTCCCAGCTTTATCCACCATTTTAACAAAATAATTGCTTTGTATCTTTGTACTGCCAGAGGAAAACTAAATTTTAGTTGTTTTATTGGACAATAAATATTATTAAGATAAGATTCAAGTTCAGATTGAAACTTTGGTGCACTTCTCAGGAGAAACATCCTGGTTATTCTTCTTGGGCAATTAAACTAACCATGCAGATTGAATCAAATTGACCAATGGGAATGTCATATTGCAGGATGTTCAAAAAAGGATTTATTTTGGTCAAACTGCTGGTTTCAAACACAAAAAAGTCCATGACCATATGAGTTTAGAACACCTGATCATGTATTGTACTTTTATCAAACTTATATTCAAATTTTATTCTCATTTTAATATATTCAATGCACAAGGTTTAAATGAGTAAGTAATCTCAAAAGTAAAATATAACTATGTTAATATAAACATGTACAATTTACCAAAATGTACACCTATTGAGATTAAAGATACTGTAGTGTGATATATGACAAATAGGTACTTTACAAATTAAAGCCTCTCATGACTTAGAACAAAAATACTCTAATTGAGACAAACCAGTAATTTTCTTTAAGGAGTCATGTCAAATTTCGCCAAAATAACTATGAAAAACCATGGCCTGTACAATTGTCAAGGCTAGTGATTTAAAATCCACCACACGCTGTTAAGATGCTTAAGAAACTAAACACCATTGACTCAGCCCCCATGGTCTCGGGGGATATTCTCCTTCTCTAGAGGCTAGGTTTAAGGGGTTCAAACACCGCCAGTGGAAATCCTCAATGACAATCTTACATTCAAGAAGAGCATGCATTTAGCAGCAAATGATCCCAAAAAGCAAGTATTAGGAAATGTCAATTTATGCATACCTAATACACTGTTCAGTGTTCATTAGAGAAAGTAACCAAACAAGAGACCAAGGAAAACCAACTCACACAATTCCCATTGAAAAATTGTTGAGTAGGCCAGTCTTCAAGGTTCAAGATTTATTTATTGGTGAAACACAAATAACAGAAAAACATGGTTCGAAACTTTGGTTGATATGCATGAATAACATTACATAAATTGTTTAGAGACACACACACTGCACCGATTACAACCTTTGATAAAATGGTAAAATGAAGTTAAGAGCGTGTTAAAATATTCAAACATTAAGGAATTAAAATATTAAAACATTTTTCGGGATTTTAGGATTTTTATAGTACAGCCAAATATAAAATTACTTTATTAATGCAAACAGATTTAATCAAAGACGCCCTCTGGGTGAAAATACTTATCAACAGCGCACCACCCCATACATGAATAAACCTTACTTAAAGACTTAGTTTGTTTTGAAGTTATATTTCATGATATAAAATTTGTTAATCTAAAATGCCAAAGCGTACCAATTAACAACATTTCAGATTACTCATTTATTGGATTAAATCAAAGTTGGCAGACGCTGAAAATTATCTCTCATCACTTGAATTTTTTTTTTTTGCAAGGAAAATATAAATGCAAAAAAATTATATAGTGAAACAAGCAATCAAATCCCTTGTTAATCTAAGGGGTTGGAAAATGTAGGGTAGAAATTACATAAAACTGATCTTAACCTAATTTTTCAGATTATGATCAAAATTTGCTATTTTAAAAATCATCCAATCATCCCATCCTAATCCAGGCCAACCTTTGATGAGACCAAACCCGATTGTATCAGTACCAATCGTACTCAAGATTTTAGGCCAATGGCATCGTTTCATTCATCACCCTAAATTTGTGTCCCAGACTATAGCATGCATTGGTTAAACTTCACATAACTGACAAAAGTAACGACAGAGTTTCCTAGATCGTCCCAGCACTAGACTATTAGGCACCGCACATATTTGATGCATATACAAGCGTTAACGTCAACTGACACCGGGCCATGTTAATGCACAGTAATTAACTTAATATTAATATACATGCTTTGGCAGCTATCAGGCACAATATTTTATTTAATATAAAATCAGCCTTTTGGCAAATATCCAGAGAGACCCCGAAGCCAGCAGACAGTAATGATAATTTGAAGTTAAGACATAAAAGAAATGCTGACTCTAGTTTCTTTAGACAAATACAGTATAGCTTCTAAATTACATACTTAGAAATTAAGAAATACTTAATTATCTTGTCTGAAAAATAAGTTTCTAGAGCACAATTGATACTCATGAAGAGGTTTAAAGAATGAATTAAACTTCTGAAGGCTAATATATTTTCAGTTTAACCTATAGGAAACAAATTCTTTTATGCTTTATTAAAAAGATGAAAAAGTTTGAAAAGTTTTATCTTTTCTCATTTAGCGAATAAATAATATGAATGTATGGGGTAGAAAAGAACAGAGGCCACACTTAGCATTTTTGTAACCTAAAGGACTCGCGCTATATACTCAGTAAACAAATAATGCTCTTAGTACATCACTCGAGATACTATCGCATGGTCATATTAAGACTTGGATGTTGCGATGTAAACAAATCAGTAATTTGACTGACAAATGCCTTATATTTATTCAGTTGTTTTATTATTTAAGCACACAACACATGCACCAAGGATTGTCAAAAGCAAATAAATCACTTACCTACATGTGACAATCCTTTTTCACAAGACAAACATACACACAATACTTTACACAAACTAAACCTTAAGGTTTAGGGAGCAGAGTTGTGTTGGTCATGGGGCAAAATCCAACGACACTGACAGGAGTTGAACCCAGGACCCTGGGATTTGAGGACAGGCACCTTACCAAGTTATTCAACTCCACTCCAGGAGGAAGGAGGAAGGAGTATAAACTTTTTTTCAGGATATTAACATTTGAGTGATGAGCATATTCAAACAGAAAACCATTTTTTTTATAATGAGATTTCCAATGTTTCAGAAAACCAGGTTGCAGAAAAAAAATATTGTTAGGTTGAAAAAAAAAAGTCTCACCTAAAAGCATGAGTATCTAATTTCCTATGATAACAAAGCATTAGGTTACATTCTGAGCTCCAATGTTAAAGGACTGATTTTGTTATCAGATATTTTCACGATGCGTTTGATCTAAATATTGGCATCTCAGGAGAGAGTAAAGGATGACTTAATATTACTGGAGTAATTGTCCACATGTGCGACAAATAGAGCAACAAAGTAATAAATGAACTACACGCCCATTATGATAACATGTTAATTACAAACAATAACACCTAAAGTTTGTCAATTGAGCTAAAGTTCATAAAAAGTATGTTTGATGGAGCTACTATAAATACATAGGCCTACATAGTTTCAGAATCTCAAACGGAGATGAAGTTTACATAAGGCTATTACCTCCCTTCCTTCTTTAGCTTTCAAATTCAAGCACCTGTAAGGAAGTTCAGACAAGGCAAATTTAAGCTCTAAATAGCAGTGCACTTGTTGTACGCTTTGGGTGCTGCCTGTGAAGACGGTCTTTATATTAAGTTACTTTGAGCTTATTTCAGACGATTTAATTCTAAGAATCCTCGTGATCAAGGCAATATACTGTAGAAATGTTCTCTCACAGATTACCTTAGAGTATACATTTACTATAATGAGCTCGCATAAGTAAAGGTGCCCTTGATGATTATGAAGATGAGGATGATGATGATGATGAAGGCGATCATAACGATGATGATGAAGTGGATGATGACAATGAACAAGGATGATCAGGATGAGAATGAGAATGTTGATGACAATGAGGACCACTGTGATAATGAGGATGATGTTGATGAGCAGGACAATGAAGATGATGACAATGATTATAATAAATAGAGTGATGATGAGGATGATGATGGTGGTAATGATTATAATAATAATATGTTAATTCTGATATATGATGATGATGGGTGGTATGATGTTGATGATAATGACTGACAATGATAAATGATTATAATGATCATAGCAATGAAAATTATGAGAATTATGATGATGATTTATGTGGCGGTACAATTGATTTTGTTGTTAAGCTGGTCAATTGTTTCTGTCCTTGAAAAAAAAAACGATGGGACTGTATTTTCTCCTATACAAGTGGGTAACCAGTAGGTTCAAATGGATTTCATTTGCCCTACAAAAAGGAGAACTCAAAGGTGGAGGCTATAAAAGGGTTACCAGGTGTCTGGTAAGGAAACATGAGCCAGATCGAGTTCCAAACAGATGCACAACATGCAAATGACAATGTACAGTATTGATAACTAAAGCTATAACATTATGGAACATTCACAAGAGAGATGAGTTCTGTTTTCCACATGTTTTTTTGTTTCAATGACCAGGTAATAATGTGAATGATGACAGAGATACATTGGCATTATGTGACATATTCCACTGACATATTATTAGCATGCATTATAGATTTCTGTACGTTGGGTACCAGTTTACGATTATGCATCAATTTTGTAAGTGGCTTGCACGTGCTATTGCTAAAAGCTGATTAAATTTAAATTCTAAAAATAACATAAAAAACAAATTAATAATTAAAAAAATAAATAAATAAATAAAATATATAATATAAAAAATTAATTTAATTAAATTAATTAATTAATAAATTATTACAAAATTAGTGACAATATCAGTAGTATAATTTTGTAAAAACTGAAATTAAAAGTAAATATTTTCTAAGAAAAACATCTAATTTAATAATTTGTTTTCATTATTCAACTTTTATTTTTGGACAGAAAAAACTTCTTTAAAAATAATTTTCTTATTAAAGGAAGGCAAAGCTAGATGAATTTCTCCTGAAAAGATCAACAATATTAATGAGTTTGTTCGATAATATTGCTACCAAAAGAGAGATACATAATTTAAATATACATTAAAAAATAAACATACTGTCTGATATGTAACAACCAGCTGGATAACAGGCAATGCATAGAACACTGCAATCGTAATGAGGTTCCAATGGTACAGCCTATACTTCATTCGCATCAACTTTGGATCCTTCCTGGAGAGATCGGAAACAAACAGGACGGCCTTTGTCCGGTAAACCTCCTTCTCATGTTCGATATCCTCTAAGTAATCAATGTCGTCTTCATCAGATACGGAGCTTGCTGATCCTCTTCTAGTCTCACTGCCGGTACCAGTACCTCCATGACTTACATGGTTGGGTGATGGTCCTGTAATATAACATATAGAACATATAAATATACAAATTAGAACGATTTGATTTACAGAAAATAATAGGTAGTACTGTCCCTCTTGAAACTAATGGATCATTATATTCTTTATCCAAACGTGATAATAAACCACATGATAGTAACCACTGGTGGAGTATCTGAACGGTAACCGGAAGGTCTTTGATCCAAATCCCAATGGGAACATATGTTTTTCTCAAAAACTACTGTTTGTGCTACTTGGGTAAATGGAGGAGAATAACACATAACTTGCAGCATCATTGTGCTGAATTGGGTATGGGTACGGTCAGTGACTACATAGTGGTGGCTTGATGCTTTCATGTATTTATTGCCCTGTGGTCAGTGGTGGTTCCAGAAATTCACAGACAGGTGGCCCAAATGTTTGACAGGGGCCAAAAAAAAAGGCTATTAATAAGCATTTATAGATGCTCATGTATAGTCTATCGGAACACCATAATGATTTAAAAAAAATATCAAACTAGGTTTGAAAAAAAAATAGATCAGAAAAAATATGAAATGAAGTACTGTATAAATATGTATATGCAATTTATGTAATATATATAATTTGTCTTTAAAAAAAATTTTTTTTTAAACAAATTTATATTTCTAAATTTACTAATGCGGTTATAATGATAGTTATGATGATGGTAACTGAAATTTTAACTGTTTTCTAAATTGTAATTTAAAAATATATCTCTCCTTTTTCTTTGTGATGTTTTTTTTTCATTTTCTGATTCCCAATATTTTTCTTTTTTGTTATCCTGCCAACAAATGAATGAAATGTACATAAGTATAAGAAACAGGATTGAAAAAGATTAAAATTATAAACAATAAACATCAGAAAATGAATTTTAAATAAGCTTCATAAATCAGAAATATTATATAAATTAAAAATAAAAAAAAAAATAACGAATTAATGTTTATACCTGTTTGTTATCCTGCCAACAAATGAATGAAATGTACATAAGTATAAGAAACAGGATTGAAAAAGATTAAAATTATAAACAATAAACATCAGAAAATGAATTTTAAATAAGCTTCATAAATCAGAAATATTATATAAATTAAAAATAAAAACAAAAATAACGAATTAATGTTTATACCTGTAGAACCATAACTTTCATGTTGCATTGACCCAAGTGGCTGCTCAGTGCTAATCCCTGAAAATGAAAAACAATTAAATCATTACGTTCTGTCAAATTTTCTTAGACAAAAAAACTGTTGTATGTCCATATATAGTCATAATGTCCCTATATATGGTCATGATGTGATGTCATAACGACCAGGCATGTCACATTGTCAAATAAAATTTCATAGAGTGGGCAAGGCTTTAATGATATACTGTCCTATCAATAGGGTGAAATCTAAAAAAAAATAAATATATGAGGCAATAAGTATTGACTGTTTATGTCAGCAGTGGTATTTCATTCAGGGAATGGAAAGCATATGGCATTAAACCAGTAGCATACATTCTACTAACCCCTATCCCACCTCCTCAATCCCACCTTAAAGCTCCCCAACCACAAACAAGTAGCCATGGCCTCGGACACTAGCTTTCGACATCAGGATTTATAAGATATGAATATTACGCAAGCTGCTTATTGTAATAAAAATTATACACTAAAAGTACATTTTGTGCTATTTTACTAGCGTGCAACATCAAGACCATAATTTCATAATTTATAGTTATGCAACAGTAGTTTGATAAAACAAATTTGTATACAAATATCTATCATATTAAATCTATAATTACTATGGCATTCTCAGTGTTCAAATGTTTGCTACATCAACAACCAGCAGATCTTTATACATGTGCTCTATATTATCTAGATACATACTTTAAAAATCTGTCCACACTGGCAAATTTGGAGTGAAAAACTTTTTTTGATTTGCCAATTGATATCTTTACCATACCCATAAAAGGGTATACCATGCCCATATATGGAGGTATGATAATGTCATATAAACCCAAGTATGGACAAATCCAAGGTATATAAAAACTTGACAGTGTAAACAGAGTTTTATACCAAAACTACCACAATGCTCATACCTATTAGACTGGCTGCAAAATTACATGACAAGTGTGAACAGACAGCAAAACCATGGGTAATGAATAGGTTGTATGCAATATAAAGAAAAGACATGAGAATACATTGTTAGTGAAAAAGTAAATTAAAGCACTTTCAAATATGCAATGTACAGTAAACAACAAGGTAATGTTTTTACAATAAATGAAGACTATTCTAGAAAATGTAACAAAATATACGGTAATGAGCATTAAAGAGACAAGGAAGTTTCATGCATTCAACATTTTTATAACAAAATAAATTGAAAACATTTCATAATTCAAATAATTATAATCTCCATTGTCATTTTCCTTATAATTTTTCTCACTACTATACCTCTTCTACTTCTATCCCACATCAACTAGCTTTCCACTGCCATCCACCATCCCAACACCTTCGCATTGCATTATAATCCTCAAACACTATCAAATATTATTTGCAAAAAATAACTATTGAATGCCCTTATATAGTCATGATGTGATGTTTCTGTCAAATAAAATTTGATAGTCTGGAATGGGCTTTATTCCATACCTGTCACACTACCTCCCCCTCCCCCCCATTCAACAATTTACCACCCCTGCACCTCCCCTGTCTTCCTTGGCTACTTTCATTCACATCAAAATGCCAGATAAGGTTGAATTACATAAAATCTACGTTGTGCATCTCCCGCCCCACACTATCCCCAAACCACGACTCACTAAAGTTTCTTCAAAATATCTTTAAAATATACATTTTTCTATATGCTAAAATGTTACAGATGAAAAACACATTATAATATTATAATATAAAAATAATAAAAGAAAAAAAAAACACTTGAAATTGATGAACTTTTCAGCTAAAAATTCTTCGTTAAAGTTCTAATTGATGGAATAGATCATAAAACAGATCGGCTTTGTGTCTCGAATGACAATAAATCTTTCTTAGGAAAATGAGTTAATTTATGAAGCTTATGCACAAGTGCTGCTGGAACATATATCCACTGTACAGGTATAGAAAACAGAGTCTATGAATTATGTATGTTCAGGTATATGAAATCCCGCTCGGTCACTTATTCATACGAACATTCGTATGTGTAGTAATATGTTGGCAGTACAGCAGTGAGATAATTACTGATATTTTTAAAGAGTTGTACACCGGAAAACCCATCGTATATAACAGTTTATATTTAAATGGCACTTAATTACCCTGCATCTGATACAGGAGCTAATATTAGAACAATAGAGCAAAGGCGATAGCTTACATTATTAATTACTAAATTAATTAATTACCAAATTTGTGAAGTCATACAGACAGGTTATTTCATATTTATAAATATGGCTCACCAGATGCTCAAATTTTAATAACTTTTACATTAAGACCTAGGATGAAGATGATGATTATGTAATTATAATAAAAACTGCAATAATATCAATAATAAACAATAATGAAGTAGAGTGTCAAAATCACAGTTTGCAGATCAAAGATGCTCGAGCATACCTAAACAGGCTGTAGACATGCAGGGCCTAGGAATAGCATTTCTCGAAAAATCTCAGTGTTTAAGACTAGTATCTCTTGGTGCATTAGCAAACTATTATGGCAAACTCTCGATTACAATTTCTAATCAATTTGGTATAGTTACTGGCATTCTAACGAACATTTTTCAACAGCACAAACACAACAAAGGATGCACGCGTTTTCCAGTACTAAGCGTAACTCACACTGCATGTTTACAATTGATAGCCACTATACGTCGCATGACTAACCTAGGGGAATAACATATATATATATATTCAGGAAAATGTCTGTCTCTTATACACATCTAGATGTGTATAAGAGACAGATATTTCTATGTATATATATAAATTGATATCATCTTAATACAGATTTACATATTTCTGTAATCTAGAAATAGGTTTATGTATACTTTGTGTCTGTATTTAACATGTTATCAATTATTATCATAAATTTTAATGATTACGTTATTTCATATAGTATTTTAAATAAATTTATAAATAATTTTAAATATTTAAATATAAACTATGAAAGTAAATACACGTAGATTAGATCAATAAAAATGGACATATTAGGCCTAGTAATCTTTATATTCATTAACACGAATAACATTTTCAATATTCTAATCAATTTTTATATAGCCGGAATTATTTTCGACCTAGACAAACCTTTGCTAAAAAGGTACACTTTCTCCATGAAAAGGCTTCTTCTATGAATGGAATGACCTGTTCGAAGCACGAACTCCCGTAGACCAAACCAAGTACCGTTACGATGTTTAATCGTACGGGAAATCCACTCACGATGCAGTACCGTTAGATTTTTAATCGTACGGGAAATCCACTCACGAAATATTTTATAATTTTATTATATTACCACCTTTTTATTACATAGATCTTTTTCAAAACATAACTGCTTTTATAACATTATATAGACCCATTAAACACAAAACTGCTCTGAACCCTCCTTGAAATGACCTGGCTACAGGCCTGTAATATTTTGAAAGAAGGAGAATGAGGGCAACTTTTTCTTCTTTTTTTGACTTAGAGATGGAACATCCAAGATGGTCGATGAGAAACTGCTACTACTGGAAACAAGTAAACACATTAAAAGAAAATAAAAGAAGCACTAGACATGATTCATACCATATGTATCCCCAACAATGAACAATCGAGAGAGGAATTTAACTGATGTGATTAGCCAGATTTTCTTACATTTTTTTAAACAAAGGAAATAAAAAAAAATAAAAAATAAATAAAAAAATTGGTGAAGCAGAAAAAATGAATGCTTGAAGAGGACGAGAAACTAGTAACTTTTTTTTATTTGGCCTAAGTATTATGATCCTGTATTCAGACTTTGTAACCCCTGGTACAGTAGTTCATTTGCCCATGAGCTAATTATTGTATACAGTAATTTAATACACACCTTGGAACCAGCTATTTGTTCCAGAGTGATTTGTTTCAATGATGGCTGTAAATGCAATAATGTAATAATGGGGGGGGGGGCACAACATTGTTTTAGATAAGTAGTTATTATTTAAATACATAACATTGATATGCACTGAAATTTTAAAATTTACTACCAAAACGGGGGGGGGGGGGGCATGTTCCCCATGCCCCTACTGGATCTGCTCCTGATGTACTGTATGTATAATAGACTAATTTTATAAATGTTGTGTACTATTGTTTTTAGTACATTTGACTCATTGCACTCATTAGTTTGTATATCATTATGTACTTGAATAGATGCTAAATAAATAAATTAAAATTCTTTTGAAATAAAGTCAATCTATTGCAAGGTATGATGTATGAGGGCAGTATATTATACATGCAGTAGTTTTCATGAAGAACATTTTGATAAAATTAAACAAAAACTAAAAACTACTGAGGGCGGCATTGATGCAAAATACTTCTATACAGTATCCTTCCCAATAAAGTGCACAGAAAGCGTTAAAGTGTGAATTCATTGGCCTTACTTCATACAGTAATCTACACAAAGGTAAATCAGACAATAATGTGCACCATTCAATATTTAAGACATAAATGCATAATTTAATTAATACACCATGACTAATCTCTAAAGAGTAAATAACATAATGAGCATTACAGCTAATAATAGCATGTCCCAAGGCACACAATCGCATATTCCTTACCTTTCTGTTCAGCAGCTGCTTGATTAAGAATCAGATGTCATTGTATTAGTTATTAGTTATATTACACTATTCATAATATACTAGATTAGAATACTAATTAATATCTCATAAAATTTAAATAATTAATAAAAAATATGTAAGCCTGTACTTTCTAGAATAAATTAAATATCATGTAACTGCAATTTTGTATTATGCCTTGTGATTTTATTAGTGTAATGACAACAATAGTCCATGTCATGCAGTTATGAGGCCAAGAAAAAAGAAAAACTTTTTTTTTCTAATAGAGAAAGCTGAGTCTGTGTTTTAATTTAGCCCCTAATAGCATTTTCAGCATTCAGATTTTTCAGCGATTTGCTTTAAATATTTAAAACCATCATTTTCAGGTATTTGCTTTCTCTGTATTTACACTATTAATAAACTAACAGTGAGGTATCTCTTTGATATGCCACTGAATAAAAAAAAATATAAGATGAACCCACTGATCTCTACTATAATAGATGGATTGCTCATTGGCTGGTTTCAGTGAGGCCACCGACACCATATTGGAGGGCGTAAATAACGTATCTGTTTACACTAGTTTCTTTTGGCACTTGTTTAAATCATTGTTAAAAATAACGATTCTTGAAATATTTTTTAATAATAAATTAAAATTTAACGTAATGATTATTTTTCACATCACCTAACCACTTGAAGTGACTGTTTATTTAATTTCAAAAAGCGCAAGCAAGTTATTTGCGTTGTTAGTGAACATGGCGTTGGTGGCCTCACTTTTTGCTGTACGAAGATTGGCCGATGAGCAATCCAGCTATTATAGTAGAGATCAGTGGATGAACCAGCAACATTAGGCTGTATTAAACAACCTGAATGAAATGAAGTGCTCTGGGGACTTGTATTATTTAAACATCAAAACCTTTCAAGCAAACAGTGTTCTTCAAGTCCATTGCACAGTATTAGTAAAGGTGTCAGTCGATATTCATACCTTTCCTGGGATTTACGCGTCAGGGTCATTCGAGGTCAAATTGACAAGTAACTGAACTTGTAGGCGGAATTCATGATAGATAATGCAAATACCATAATATCATGTTTCATATGAGAGCTAATTGGATTATCCATTGAAAACAAATACATCAAGTTATCTTGTGAAAATAAGGTGCATTTTTAGGTAAAATTTAAATAATTGAATAAGGAGTGATATGGGAATTGAACCAGCAACCTTCTTACAAACAGATGTAAAATTCAGGGCCCTTGATAGACTTGTGTTATCAAAATGTTTCAAGCACATCACATTATTATTTAAGTCTGGTGCCAAGTCTACAGTAGGTATCGATCGTTTTCATGCCTTTCTGTAGATTTTATGCGTCAGGGTCATTGGAGGTCAAATAAAAGATTATTCAAACTTGACTGCTTAATTAATGATAGATAATGTATATATGGTATCAATTTGATTATCTATTGAGATAAAACATCCAGTGAACAAAGAACATTTTTAGCAAAATCGAAAAAAATTATCAGTGAGGTTTGTCCACAAAAGACATTTAAAAGACATTTCATAACATTATTTTCCAAAAATATTAAAATAAGATATAATAATGTTATCACTATACCAGTGTTGACAAGGAATCACAGACAATATCAGGAATCTTCAAAATGAAGACATTGATCAATGTAATAACAGTGTGTTGTCGTAAGTTTTTGTTGGTGGATTTGTGTTGTGTTGATACACAATATTTCCATAATTATTATAATAATAAATTGTTTATGTTTATTGTAGAATAACATATACACAAAGACTGGTACTTTGCATACATAAAAGTTTATGAGCTACTAAACATTAGCCTTTGGCATACAAAATATGCTGTTTATTTTTACAGACCATATTCTAGAAATATATAAAAAATGTTCAAGGATTTCTTTAAAAATATAATTCAAAACTTCAACAACATCACATTGCAAAAACAACAGTGTTACAGGTAAATAGGTGATAAAAAACATCAAGGTAAATGAATCATCGAAAGGGTAAACTATTATTTAAATATGTGCCAAAGACAAGCCAAAACATCACTCCTTGCAAAAAAAAAAAAAAAAAAAAAAAAAAAAAAAAAAATTAGTTAATAATACTAAATAGTAAAATGAAAGTTTTAAAATCATTTAAATCTAACATTTTGTTATGAAGTTACAGGTGTTAAAACACTCAGCTGTGTAAAGAACACTTGTTTGAAATATCAGCTTTAAAGTTTACAATTTCAGACTTTTCTCAGGCACAGACCATCATTACCACATTGTTAGCAAATGTTGTTTTAATGTTGAAGATGGGGAAAACAACAACATAGAACTATGTATAGTTTATAGTGCAATAAAATAGATTAAAAAAAGTTTTGACATCCCAACATGTTTAGGCTATTACCTCTGAACCACGATTTGCAAGGATTGCCTAGTTGGCTTGTCTTTTGCCATTTACATCAAATAATTTTAAGCTGGATTTGTGTGGTTGGTTATCAACATTTAAAAAATTATTTCTTAACACCAACAGTAATAAAACAACAACACTACAGGCTTGTACAATATATCAAATTTACATAGCAAATATGCAGAATAGCTATATATTTCATCAACACAAGAAATTATTAGGGGAGTGGTAAAAATCTGATGGAACAGCCATGTAAATCTATCTGCAGAGGATTAGAATTCAGGACATGTACAACATGTTTCGTTTAATCTCAGAACAATATGTGACATCATGTAGTAAGCTGTTTAAAATTCCCTCCTGGGGCAACTTTATGTGTAAACACATCTGCCACAGCAGTTGCGCATGAAATATTGTTGTCGCAAAGGTAAGTGAGAACGAGCATGAAATGAAAAGCATCTTTGAATATGTTATCACATACAGGTAAATTGTAAACTACAGCAACTGTACTTACCCCCTTCGCCATCTCTTAATTCAGATTCTACTTGCCTATAAAGTGAAACAAAAACATATTTTTTGAATTATATTGCAAATTTTAAATCTTTTGTCAACTGTTTTCTTTTTAACTATCCTAACCCCTTAACTTGAGTGGCGCTCGGCCTTGCTTGGGGTGACTGAACATGATTTGTTTGTATTACAGGCAAAAAAAAGGAGATCTGGCTGAAATTTAAAATTACACACCATTTATATAAGAACATACAGTATACAGCCTGAATATAGGTTAATATTAGTAAGATTGGTCCAATCAGGTAAATTTAAAAAGCAGGCACTGCATAAGTAAAATGTACTTTACTTCCAATTCGAGAGCATATTTAGTGACCTGAAATTTTTGGGTTATCACAGAGTTCAGTCCCTAATTAGAAAGTTAGCTTTGTGTTAAAAGATTTGTATTGTTTTATAAAAATCATCAAATGTGAATTACATAATAGATTAAGAATTAACTTGCCTCGCAGATGCAATAACAACAAGAATCCCAGTAACTAGGTAAAACAGAAGCATAATACCAATGGTTGCAAAAACTGGCCTCCAATACTCTGTAGCTATTGCAATGAAGGAGAAGAAATATGTTTTAAAAAACTGAAGTAAATAATAAATAGCAATAATGATGACAAAAATAATGACAGTGAAGATGATGATGATGATAATAATGACACTAATGATGATTATAACAAAAGACTAAATTATTAGCATAATATTAACAATAAAAAAATTATTATAAAAATTATAGTAGAATAGTAACAATAATTTCAAAAATAATAATGATTTTGATGATGAATAATGATTCTTTTAAAGGCTCTTTGATTTATGAATGCTGTAATGGAAACATAAAATATTGTTTTATATATTCAAATTTTTAAAAATCACATAGATATGAATTAATGAATATTTGAATTTATATCAACAAAAAGATGTATAGATGTATGTGCAAACAAACAATTTAAACTAATAAACAAATAATACATTTGATAAAACTTAATATAAATACATGCTGTCTTGTAACCTACTGAAACTAGGAAACAACTTAAACACTAACCTAACATAATAACAATTCTATTTTGCAACATATTGTAGTATCATACAAACGTACAGTATGTGTGTGGATACATATACATTAGCCATATTATTATAATTACTAAAAAAAAAAATCCTACACATACCCCTAGAGATGCTAAAAAAATATGAACATACAAATGACAACACTGTATAATGAAATGGACTGCAAACACCAAAGTAATTGCCTTCGCAGGGTATTAAGCATGTCATACGAAATAGCGTTGCGCAGCTTAACCAAGCCACGTTTGCGAGCAACGGTAATGTAGCATATCTGACAACTGAGTAACCTTTTTAAACATCGCCTTTTCATAAAACTGGACAGGGTTTAAAGGTCATTTGTTTTGTCACTGTCAGTGCCAAAAGATTTGCAAAGGAATATATCTCTTGTTGACACATTTTTAGTTTTTCATGTCACATTTTATTTTTAAGCAGTTTATTTTCCCTTGAGCAAAAATGAGTTTATACAAAGGAATATATCTCTTGATTTGAATACTGTTGGAAAATATGGTTACGTTGCTGGTATTCTTACAAATTCAAAAGAAAAATAGATATGGCAAATTAGTAATTAATATTTCAGCTACAGGTTTTCATGTTGCTTTTTATTTTTAAGCCTAAACAGTTTTTTTTAGCATTTAAAATACTGTTTTTTATTTATTTAAACTGACTTATAATATAATGGCATAGATGTTATACTAAGGCCATGCTGTTTTAAATCTTATCATCCAGAAATTTGAAATACTGTAGATGGGACGTGCATTTAGTTATCTTTGTCCTAATTTTTATAATAATTTACCAATTGAGCTCCGGGACTGCAAAATAGAAAATACATTTAAACTTAAGTTAAAACGATATATTTTAAACTCTTAGCCATTGTTTATTGTGGTTTTATTGAGATAACCTTATTATTACATTGTTTGATTTTATTCTATATTATACTTTTATTTAATATTATATTATATTAGGCAATATAAATTAAACTTCTATTTTGAATCATGTCTTTATGTACTTTTAAGACTTGTTATGAGGATTGTACGTTATTGTAGTTATTATTATTATTATTATTATTATTATTATGTTGTAATGATGTTGTTTGTACTGTTTTTTTTAATTTTATTAAAGAGGGCCCCTGAATATCAGTTAACCAACTGGGCTAAACTGGAAGGGTTACCTTCTTTAAAGATGGTTGAAATAAAAAAAAAATAAATAAAAATGGGACCCAAGAAGGTATTATCACCAATGGAGGGTCTACACTAACAAAACTAGGTGGCCGGAAATGGCACTCTGACTGAAATTTGAATATATTATGTTTTTTCTCTATTTTAAAAAATTGTTTTGAAAAATGTAAGGTGAGGGACAGGCAGTGGAGAGGGTACCCCCGGAATCTGCCACTGCTTATAACATAACAAGCAAGCTTACCAAACAAATGTACCATACATATTAAATGTATTTAGACTTGTATTGATTTCACAGGAAGAAAAAAAATTATAGAATAGATGCAAGTTGCGTTAAAATGCACTTACAGGCATATGTTTCTTCAACCTCTATGTTAATGGTCTTACTACGTACATTTGTCTGAAGTGCTGAAATGAGAAATATGGGGCAGTAGTAAGTTTAGGAAGTATATAAAATTCTTATATACAAATACAATATATAATTATATAAATATTGTTACATAATTATAAAACGTTATAATATGTAGGCCAATTGTAATAAAAAAAAATAACACATTACATATAAAATATCATTATATTATAGATTAAAAGGAAAAATACTGTGACTGGATCTCGGTAAACATCATATCATATTATAAATTATTTACTATACTAAAAGTAGCAAGCCTATAATAAGCAATTAAAACAACCAAAGTATCTGTATCATAACTTATACAATTTTGATTCTTAATTAAAAACCATGCTTTAAATGTTAATTTTGCCATCGGCCTATTGTACTTATAAATGATGGATTAATTCCAAAATGATCAATGGCACAACACATCTCACAGTGAAATGTGTATTAGACAGTATATATAGCATGTATTATACATTACTAAAATAAGCGCCGTGCTTATGAAACTTTTGGAGGCTTTGTAGAAGCACTTAATCAAGAGACGCATTTATTTGAATGTGTTGCATATTACAAAGTATTCAAGTGTTCAGATGGTACAATGGGTTACACATAGGCTTATCTATAGTATAAACTTGCTACAGCAAGAAATCAGTTTTTTAATAGTGTCCTGGTAATACAAATCTTCAAACATGTTGTTTAGGATGTACTCTCGATTAACGTTCAGTGTGACGCTTTATAAAAGCCCTTCAAGCCACTTACTTAGGCCATGTAAAAAAAAAAGAGTTGTTGATCGTCCTTTTTTTTTAAAGTCAGTTAAGGAGGGAGGTTTTTTTTTTAATCAGACTTAATGAAACCATCCCATTGATACATGCCAAGTCTTCAAATCTACCATGGAGTTTAAGACTTGACGGATCTTCCAGTGTAGTGTTTGATCAAGTGGAATTTATACAAACAAATGAAAGACAAAATAATTACACAAAAAAAGTCTAGGCCAAGTTGAAGTTGAATATGTGCAGAAAGACGATATTTTCGTAAGTTTTAGCGGATAAAAAAGAAAAAAAATGTGTCTGTTTTTATTTTCTTTACATATTGGCCTTATTTGAGGAATGTTGTGGCAAAATGGCTAAGTTGTAGCAAAAATTGAAATTCAAGTTATTTGTATTTTCAGATACCTGAGAATGTGATCTTTAAAATGAGGGGTCATTTATTCAAATTGGACATTTTAAGCCTACGTTATTGGAAAGTGAAAGTACAGTACTCTTAGAGTCAAGATAAACATGATTTTGAGTAATTGCCTTTCAAAGTTATTTGTGCATACATTGTTTAATAGAATGAACTATGAAAAATAACGTTAAAAAAACAATTTCTTAACCACTTCCAGAACTAATACTTTGGACATGATTAATAAGACATTAAACTGTTGATCTATAGTGAAAAACAAATTTGGATTTTTAGGCAATTTTTTGAGCTCCCATATTTTATAGCTCATTTACTCAATACCGGACTGGGCGACAACTTAACCATTTCGCCACAAAATGCCTCATTTGAGAGAAGCACTTCCAATCAATTAAACATAGGTTAGGTTATAATTTCGCTGTTTTGAATCTTATAGATACAAAATTCAGAAAGATAGAAGATAATAATTCTATATAATTACCATTATCATGGTGTTCCAATTTTGGTTTCTGTAGATTTATTATAAAATAAACACACTGGTAGTACCGTATATATTAACTTCATATATTTTATTACATAAGCTTTTGCCAGCAGTCTATGCTGGATTCATCAGGTGTAGGTTTATTATTATCTTGTGTATACTAAAGGGTGAAGCTTAGACAAGCTGACTGCACTGATAAAGTTAATGCAGACAATTTTGAGCTGAGTGGTTGGCTGCTTCTTGAGCTGATGACCCCGGTTCAAACCTGGCCAGCGTCCGGTTATAATTGGAGTCTGATCGCTTGGCTCAAATAACCCTCATTGAGAGTTAGACATTATTTTTATCCATATGTATTCATTATTTGTTAGTTAAGTCGGGTGGAGCTGAAATGTGGCTGCCGAAAGTCCCCAGAAGCCCAGATTTCTGATTTCCAATTTGAATGAAAAACAAATAAAGAATTAATAAAAAAAATCATTAAAATTATAATTATTATTAAAACTGGGTTCGATTCACTACGGAAATTTTCTTACCACCATATTTTAGCGAAGGTTGAATTTCTGCATACTTGCCGCCGCACTCCTTGTCGTCTGGCTGCACAACCAGGACAACAAAAAATTCAGCCCCTTTAAAGTATTCCCTCTATGTAAAAAACAAAAGAAATATAATTAGATTAGAGGGGAATTATAGAAAATAATCAATTTTTTCAAAAATGTACCAACTTGCCTTAATCCTGACACAAGAGATGTTGTACAAAACCAGAATTTTACAAAGTAACCAATACGACTGGACGTCTATCGTGAGATGCGGTCAAGTGACCTGAAGCATTTATGAAACCCAGTTCTTATAGTTTGCAAAATGCTGTTTTTAAAACAATACCCAATAAATTTTGAATAAAATATTTTTTTCTAATATCAACAAGTCATGGCTAATCGGGGGCCAAGCCTGCATGACAGGGCTTCATCTCCCCCATCTCCCTGGCGTCAAAACTGTGGATAAGACGGAAGGCTGCTCTTACCTCAACAGTTACGGCAGCTTTAGTAGTCATTGTCTGGTAAACACCTGTAAATTCCACATTTCTAAACTGATCATACACTGGGCACTGTAGAAAGAAACACAGAAAGAAGTCAAAGCAATAAATCGGTCATGTAAAAAATTGGTCACCTGGGGAAATATTAAGTACTTTAATTCCTTTGCTGCAGATTAAAACTGTTTCAAGTTTTTAAAACGAGAGATCAATTATATTTTTGTACTGATAAATTCCTATCCAAGTATATTGGGAGATCATCTTCAGTTTCGATACAAAATAACTTTCAAGGCCTCTGTCAAAATAAATATCAAATGTACAATTTTAACTCATGCAATAGAGTAATATATTATAAAGCATACTTTTGAGAATTATATAGCACCGAATCTGCCTAAATATATGCTTTCATAGTAAAGTATGATATAATCACTTTTGATAAAGATATAATAAAAAACAAAAATAAAATATTAGATAGGTGTTATAAAGAATTGTCTCTTCTACGGGTACACGGGTAATTATTCATACGTTATTAACTTATTGGTTAAACACAGTACAGTAGAATAATACAGTTTGGATTCTAGATGAAAGCAATATTTGTTAATGTTGGAGTAACATTTGTTATAACACTCCTCTCCTTTCTATAATTCAAGACTTCAGTATTACTCGGCAAGTGTTAGTCAATGGTGTAGCTGGGAAGGTGCTTCCCCAATGTAACGGTTAGGGCTCAGTGGTCCAGAATCTTTATGCCATGCATAGGGTCTGAAGGAGGATGGAAACTATGGACAAGAGAGGAAGGTTTTGCAAGCTTCAGGATTTTAGCCATTTTGATCTTATTCAAAATTTGATATTTTGCACTGCAGCTGGAAGTGTTGGGGGGAAAGGGGTGACTGTCCCTTTTGCCACACTCCTGGATCCACCACTGGGGCTTTCAATAATGTTTGTTGAAGTGATTCTCAGTGTCATCACCTTAACCCTTACACAAAGCTGTGTGGTTTAATCCTTCAGAAATCGCCTCCTTAGCTGTCTGTGGCTGACAAATTAGACAAGAGTATACAGGATTGGATCAGAATATTGACAAACTTGAAAAAAAAAAAAATCCCCGTATTCAATCAAAAATTAAATATTCTTGATTGCTTCTGAAATAAAGTGATGGCTTATGTTGTTAATACAAAAATTCAAATTAAAAATAAGTTGTTACAGTTCCATTTATATTTTTTTATTTTCCATTATTCAGATTAACTCTTCTATATTGCGATGAATTGCCTCATGGTATAGATGGAATAAATTTCCTAATTATTTTTCTGTATAATCTTGGATAAATCCAATCAATTCAAAATTTCTGATATTGTTAAGAAAATTATTAGCATCCAATATGATTACTTTCATTATTTTTTTTATTAAATGCATTGCATCTACTATAGTAGTGCATCAGAGGTACATATTATGTGCCTGAAGGTAAGTTAAGTATTATTAAAAAAGCGATCTCACTAATAGTCTACTGTAGGTCTAGCATCTAGTGGTGAACACACCTAGAGTAGGTAGGTGTACTAAAGAATATGGCATATATTGCTTCAGTTTACTTTATATTGTCAACATTGATGGAAGTTTAAGATAAATTTTTAGCCTACAAAAATAGGTCATAAAATCCACTTTAAAGATAATTTATATTTAATGAATTTAAAATCTGTAAAAAAAAAACAATAAATGACAAAAATAAATAAAAAAAAAAACTGCTCATTTATAAGGATAAAAAAAAGCATGTTTTTATAGCCTTCAAAGCAGATCAAAATAATTATACCGATTTACAGATCTACTATACATATTCATAAACAAGGCAATTTAAGACTAATTTAAGTCTGTGCAACGAATGGACATTATAATTATTAATGGAATTATAACGGGCAGGGGATATACCTTCTTATAATAATTTCCATTTGAAAGGTAATAACAGTACCGTAAATACAAATAAAGTACCGTAATTTTATACACATTTAAGAAATGTTATAAAAAAAATTGTTTTATAATAAAATAATAATAATTACAATAATTATAATAATTTAATCAACATAAGAATAATAATAATAATAATAACAATAATAATAATTATTATTATTATTTATTATTATTATTATTATTAATAATAACAAAAACAAATATTAAGGGCCGGATTGGCTTAATGGTATCCACAGTACTGTACCGTAAGCCATAAGCTTTCATAGCGCAACCTTTGGTATATACGCAATTGCATAATTGGCTTAAACTGTAACTTCGGTATTGGTGACATCTTTCCTATTTTCAAGACCATTCCTTATCTCCCCGTGATGATGACATCAGGATGAGATAAGATTAAAAATAATAATCCATATTATAAATAACTATGGAGTGACTTTCGGCATTCCTCAGTCACCCAAAAACTCTAGTTACACCCCCAGCAATTTTGAATATAATTTTAAACCAAACTATTAATCCATAACATAAGATTGATACAATTGTATTTTTAGAGGTTCCGTGTTGTTTGTTGAGTTATAACACTCCTATCTTGTTACAAAGCTAAACTTGTTTGCATTGTTAGCAGTATTTAAATATTGATAAGATACGATAAGGAACTATATACCAAAACTAACTACTAATATAAAACTGGACTATACTATACACTAATATTAAACTGGATTTACACATTACTGTAGACTATACACTGCGATGCGAAACTCATAAAACTGGACTATAAATGATCAATTAAACACAGTTTTTGACCAAGGCAATCAGCATACTGTACATACTATAGTGTTGCAGATGCATAAGATTTCAACCTTTTAGATTTATTATATTTTATATAACTCCCACATCATCACTCACCTACACTCCTCCTGAGGGGTGTGAAAAATGGAACACCTTTGGTTTGATAATCACTCGAATTAAATCAAGGAATTGTAAAAATGTTTAAAATGTGTTAAAACCTCCAAATATTGTGGCAACGCTTTCTGCTAGGGATGTATTTTGTGTTGCTTTGAACTCATAAACACCACTTTGATGGCTGAAGAATTTCAGTAATTATCTGTATGTTACCAACTATTCCAAAGAAGCTTAAATGTCCCCTCCCCCAAATAATCAGCTGAAAAACAAAAATTAAGTGTGCTTTTCTTAGCACATATACCATTTTCAAATAACAAGCACTGGATTGACAATATAAATAAGTATAAAGTACTGTACTTGGTTGAGTCTATACATTATACAATACACATTCTTTTTATTTATTTATTTATTTATTTATTTATATTATTTTTACTATAATTCTAAGTCTAATTCTAGGAATTATACAACCAGCAAGCATGTTGGTTAGTAAAATGACATCCCAAGGTCAAAGATTAATATTCAGATTGGAAAAAGATCAAATATTCTTTTCAAAAAATATTCAATGAATGAATGAATGAATGAATGAACGAATGAATGAATGAACGAGAATGAATGAATGAATGAATGAACGAACAACGAACGAACGAACAAATGGCTGATGGCAAACTCACCATCAAACATACACAAGCAAACAGAGTTAAACAGAACGTAAAACATGAATGAATGGACAAATATATGACTAAATGAATGAATAGATTATGAAAGGATGGATGGATGGATAGATGAATGAAATAACAAATGAGCAAATGAAGAGATTGAGAAATAAATAATTACATAATATATTTTCTATGACCTTGGCAAGTTTCTATTTGGTGTTCATATAAAAGAAACGATAATCAACTGTGTTGAATTTCAACATGTCTCACCTCAGATCTTACCAAGCAATTAATCATACTGTAGTATGGATGACTGGACAAGCTACTAAAGAGTTGAGTTGAGTATGATGTATGTTTACTATGGGTTTTTAATGGAATAACACCCTAAAGGCATGGAAGTATGAAAAATAAGTCATTTCTCAGCAATAACTCTGACGATGTGAATGGAAATCTTCAACCACTATCTTCACAACGAGTAGAATAGCAAAAAATAAAGAGCAAACTACAATATAAATCCCTGTAGGATTTGAGCTATTTCTCCAGCTACAGTTTCTTAGGACAATAGTGTATGATGTGGTGGTATATGCCCTCCCAGGTTCCCCTATAGAAAATTAGACTGGGAAAATAACTACTCTACAGAAAAACCTCTTTTTTTTTCTAATTTCTAAGAAATGAATACATTTTCAGACTTAATGTTTAATTAACCAATATCACAGTGTACACCAAACGTCTATTTTTAACCAAATGAAAAACATCCACAATAAATGTCAAATTTATCAACGTTATTGTGGTACAAATACTGTGCAAATTATCATTTTCACAGTAAATGACATTCAAACTTCAAGTTTGATTACATGTGAGGAATGATGATGACGAATATCGTCATTCACAGTTCTTCACCCAACTCAAATCAACATTTATCTATTCCAAGGGGCTATGGAGAGGAATTTCAGCATGTTTTTAGCTAATACTGTAACATTAGGCTTAATAGAGATATAAACATATTCTAAATTACCTGTACAGATACAATCAAAGCTAAATTTATACAGAATTTTTTACGCGGCCGTGTTAAGAGCGGTTGGTTAAACTTGTACGTGCACCTCTGTATTGTACATGATTAGACTTAAAAGATAAAAAAGGAGGCAATATTGTAGATGTACGGAAAATTAGAAAAATTATAAAGAAATAAGTTTAGTATATCTTATTTCATACAGTAATAATATACAAAAAAAATTAAAAATTAAATTAAATAAAGTAAAACAAAAAATAATTGTTTATAACCAATACACAGGTGAAAATACATAAAATAAAAGAATTAAAACATAAACAAAGCAATAACATCAAAATAAGAGACTGTTTTATACCTTGTTTCACATATTTATTTTTTTACAGATCATCAGAAAAAATTAAAATAAAATGTTGTTTTCTTATTTAGCAAATGATTTTGGCAAAAACATTTAGAGGGAGGAGAAAACATAAATAAAATGTTATTGTTGAATGTAAAAAGTGTAGATGAGATGGTTAAATGCTCTAAGTTTATATACAGTAAATGGGAAGAAATATACATGATTTTATTTAGATTTCAAGGCAGCGGCTAGTGCAATAAAAAATGAAAGAACTTTTATTATTCTTTCTGAAATTTCCATTTTTCCAAAATCACATTATTGGCGGGTGACGGGTTTGCTAAACAAGCACCAATAACAAAAAATGGCTAAATTATGACAATTGGAATATTGATCATTGCTCCAGGAACATGGCAATCCAAAGGTATATGTCAATAATTAATGATATGCATAATGTACATTAGCCTAATTGTAGTACTGCAGCAATTAACCAGAAATAATTACAAATCATTAAAGCTAACAAATTAATCCAGTCCAATAGATAACCAACGTCTTCCCAATCCCCATGTGCCTATAAAGTCCACAAGGCCAATTAAAACACAGTTATTTAAACTAGAGTAAAAGTTTTATGTAATTAATGATGAAGGTAATAATATAACACTAATTAGATCAATTTAATACTCACTGCTAAAGGATTTATATTTTGTGAATACTGTATTATCATACTGTTTCTGTACTTGTGTCTCAGAATAGGATACAGATTATAAATGGTACATTCTCTCTATCTGGGTCATCTGGCGTTAAGTTACGCTGCTGGATGGATAGATTTATGGGAAACCCACAAAATTCTGAAGAAGACTTTAAAATTTAGTTTGGTGAATTCTGGCGGTGATTGGGAATATACTGCTTTCTTAAACGTGCTCATGGGCCATTTTACACATGGGACCAACGGCTTAAAAGTCTCATCCGAAAGAGGATGCATTTTTGAAACTTGCATCTCAGCCCTTCCAGCTGTAATAACACCAGGAGAGCAGCGATGGGAATTGAACCGCCGACCAAGAGATCTCTATGATCCAGCGCACACACAGTGGCTACCACCAGTTTAACCGACTGAGCTAGCTACTCCTGTCTTTACAAGAGTACGCCATTATTTTTCTATCCGGTGCCAAATAAAGTGCACTATATATTCTATGTGGCACATATTATAAACACTACTGTATATGGTTTACTTATTCACCTTTAGTTGCACATCAATGTGAATTTTCATCACAACAACCTAGATTTCTTTCGATACCATGATACTTTTTACAGTAGATCTAAAATTTTTAAAGTTAAATGGCAGTTCTTCTTTGGTCTGTCCTGTTCTTTTTTTTTTTTTTTTTTCTGTCTTTCGTTCTAGTCAAGGACCTGTAGAGCATTTGCAGATCCTTCTTTAAAATAAAAGAAAGAACTTTTATTATTCTTTCTGAAATTTCCATTTTTCCAAAATCACATTATTGGCGGGTGACGGGTTTGCTAAACAAGCACCAATAACAAAAAATGGCTAAATTATGACAATTGGAATATTGATCATTGCTCCAGGAACATGGCAATCCAAAGGTATATGTCAATAATTAATGATATGCATAATGTACATTAGCCTAATTGTAGTACTGCAGCAATTAACCAGAAATAATTACAAATCATTAAAGCTAACAAATTAATCCAGTCCAATAGATAACCAACGTCTTCCCAATCCCCATGTGCCTATAAAGTCCACAAGGCCAATTAAAACACAGTTATTTAAACTAGAGTAAAAGTTTTATGTAATTAATGATGAAGGTAATAATATAACACTAATTAGATCAATTTAATACTCACTGCTAAAGGATTTATATTTTGTGAATACTGTATTATCATACTGTTTCTGTACTTGTGTCTCAGAATAGGATACAGATTATAAATGGTACATTCTCTCTATCTGGGTCATCTGGCGTTAAGTTACGCTGCTGGATGGATAGATTTATGGGAAACCCACAAAATTCTGAAGAAGACTTTAAAATTTAGTTTGGTGAATTCTGGCGGTGATTGGGAATATACTGCTTTCTTAAACGTGCTCATGGGCCATTTTACACATGGGACCAACGGCTTAAAAGTCTCATCCGAAAGAGGATGCATTTTTGAAACTTGCATCTCAGCCCTTCCAGCTGTAATAACACCAGGAGAGCAGCGATGGGAATTGATCCGCCGACCAAGAGATCTCTATGATCCAGCGCACACACAGTGTCTACCACCAGTTTAACCGACTGAGCTAGCTGCTCCTGTCTTTACAAGAGTACGCCATTATTTTTCTATTCGGTGCCAAATAAATTGCACTATATATTCTGTGTGGCACATATTATAAACACTACTGTATATGATTTACTTATTCATCTTAGTTGCACATCAATGTGAATTTTCATCACATCCAACTCACAACACACACCTAGATTTCTTTCGATACCATGATACTTTTTAGATCTAAAATTTTTTAAGTTAAATGGCAGTTCTTCTTTGGTCTGTCCTGTTTTTTTTTTTTTTTTTTCCTCTGTCTTTCCTTCTAGTCAAGGACCTGTAGAGCATTTGCAGATCCTTCTTTAAAATACTGTGGTTAATACCCACTATGTCCTTGATAATAATATTGCCTCATCAATGTTTCTGCTTTTTCCCACTAGATTTTCTTTCTGATAGTAGATTATAGTATTTCTTAATAAGTTCCTCTCTCCTATCTCTCGTTTTCATTTTAGAATATAAGCAATAGACAAGTATCAGAATAATGTCACACAAACAATTATAATAATTTTTATACATTATTTTATGATCGCTTTTAATAATGAATAGTGTAATGAACTACATGTGCTACTAAAAACTGAACACAAATACATGATTCGTAAATAGATTTTACAGTGAGTATGGCCAAAAGCACTGGTGATCAGCAAAAACCCACTGATTTTCGGAAAAAATCAACATTTTGTTGTTGGTATTTTTAGATTCTGTATGAACTCTTCTTTAAAACATTTTTTATTCGATGGAAATTGGTTGAGTATTAAAGAGAAGAGAAGAAATATTTAATTCATTAGATATCAGCCAAGTATTTTTTTTTAGAAAACTGCTTCCAAAGATTCCAAAATCAATAGTTTACAATAAGGATTTGTAAGTTTAATATAATTTCAGTTAGATTTAGTTATTGATTGTTCTTCAATATATTTATTTTATAAACTGTAAATATCTGATATTGTCCAAAATTCTGATTATCTGATTAGTATTGGGTACTCCTAGTGAAAAATTAGAAATTGCGACAAATGTTGGGTTTTGCCAGAGCCGGTCACATTTAATCTCACGCACAAGTGTCTAGACCTTTGTATCTATGATGGACACTACAGTACTGTACCTGAGAAAACAAGTCCAACTTTAGATCAGTAAACGACTGACGGTATTACATGTACACACTAGGTCATGTGACGCGCGATTACTTGGAACAGTTAATCTGTCATCTGCCATTATCTCATCGCAAAGCCATGGATTAGCATCACTTGGCCGGCAGTGTGCATCGACAATTGAAAATTAGCATTTCATTACCTTAAACGAAGCGCAGCTGAATAATTTATAAAAAACATGAAACAGATAAAAATTTAGCATTAAATTGCAAACTATCTTCTCTTTCACATTCAAAATGATGAAGTATGATTCATGGTAGATTATGATTAAAATGGAATCTTTGGTTGAAATACATTTTCCATTATCCCATATATTCTATTAATTCATTCAGTTTTTTATTAAATAACTTTAGCATGGATGTTAATGTATTATTAACAAATTCTACAAATTAATTTATTGATTATGGTTAATATTAACAATAAATTTGATGATGATGATAATGACTATCAACATGAACATGATGATTGTGAAGTGGCATAGGGGTGCAAAGTGATGTTGGGCACCCCCAAAAGAAGAGACTTGAACCCACCTACAGTTCCCCCTCACTGAAAATATTTGTTTAAATTCATTGTAAAATTATACATTTAAGCAAATCCGAAAACAAAAACTTGTTCAATGTATTTTTTTTATAGCGTAAACAAAGTCATTCTTTTGTATTATAGATATCAAATATGAATGTGCTGATGAGGATGCTGTATTGTATACACCATTTTATTGAGTCAATTTTGAAACAACACCACCAACGTTTCGCAACTTTTCACTGGGGGGACTTCCAGAGGCCTAGCCTGAACAGCTGGCAAGTTACCATCGTGCAGCGGATACCACTGCTTGACCTTTGCCATAGCAGCAGCAGCAGACAATAGAATCTTTTGCTAATTACTGTATGTAAACATTGAAATAGCTTTTTAAGACTCAGACTTGTTTTTATTATCAACATTTTGTTCTTTTTCCGTTTCAAAAATATTTGTGCTCGTTAGTAATTTAATCATGATGGTAATTATATAGAACAAAATGCTAGGCCTGTGGAACTAAGCCCAATCGTGGTAGTTGCCAGGTTCCTGGAAATTTTTATTACAAACTTGGCGAAAATGGGGTATAGTATTACATGATGATGATTCAAATGCTGATTTTGTTTTTCATTCAAGAACTTACATTGATAGACTGCAACGAAACAACTGCACATAAGCTGGTATTTGACGTGGCTTTCACAATTACTGACTTTATTCCATCCGGAAATTTAAACTTATAGTACTGTAGAGGAAAAAAAATACATATTGAGTTAATAGAAAAATGTGGAGGATGAAAAAATAATAATTAGAAATTTTCCCACATCAATTCAAAAATTGAACCAAAAAATGTTAAAAATAAAGCAAAGTTACGAGAATAGCATTAAATTTATGGTCAGATAGAAATAGGTGATTCCAGAGATGGTGAAGGGAAGGGGGGGGCTGAACAAAAGACAGAACACTGACCATATGTTTGACATATATTTTTAAGTGAAAGGACTTGCAAAATCAGTTTAACAGAGTGCAACACAGGGCGTAAATTACTCTAAAAAAACATGATGGTTGTTTAAATGATAGTGGCCCAGGGTTGGGGAGGCCTGGCATAGCCATCGGAGATCCACGGCAAAATCTGCCGGGAAGAAATAGAACATTGTGGGGAGCTCTATCAAATTTTATGTGACAAAAAACTGTGATATGCCCATATTTGGGCATAAACTATGATATGACATCATCATGCCCATATATAGGCACATCACATAAAATGTGATAGTGTGGACAGAGCTTTAGGAAGTCCTTGTTAAGCTCTGTTTACACTATCAAAATTTCTTTGACAAAAAACTGTTGTAAAGTCATGATATGCCTATATATGGTCATGATGTGATGTCATCATAACCATTTTCAGGCATGTCACTTGTTTTTGTCATATCAATTTGATAGTCTGGACAGGGCCTTACACTTAGCATATTCCCCCTGTAAAATTACGTCTTAGTGTGAATTAGGTATTAGTCTGGGTATCTCCATGTACAGTAAGTATATCAAGTTCACTTTAAAGTGCATGTTTATTAATACTGTCTCATGTACATTCTATTTTGAGACAATACCTTAATAGGAAAAATCAATTTTCTCAGCACTATGAAATTTCATACCCCAAATGTATTTAGGTTTTATGAATATCTATTGATATAATTTAATATATTGATTAAATTGTATATACATCAGTAAGCAATATTAAAACAAGGAGTGAAAGGTGAAGAGAAACTTAAAACTATAATAGGCAGGCCTGGGTTAGAATGACTAGGGAAAAATCCACAGGAAATGGGGAAACTGTAGGCCTGCCTAGGTTTGAACATGGAGGTACCTCCATGGTTTGAAGGACTGGAACAATTAACAGGAAATGGAGAAGCTTGTGTACAATAAATATGATTGATTAGAAAACAATGCATTTTCTCAGGCTGTTTACAGTAGATTTTATCTACCCTAGGAATAAGTAATTTATCAGGTAATATTATTAATGGATTGTAACAGTGTGGAAAATCTATTAACTTAATTATTTCCTAATATTCTTAAATTATAATACAATCTCTATAATTAGGAAGATTAGATTCCAATTATCCTCTTCTTTTAGCTATAATTATGAAAGGGATGTATATGTATGTAAATGAATCTGTCTCTGGTACAAACCATGAAAAATAAGTTTAAATGATATTTAGGTAGACAATATTTAGCTATACTTTGGTATTTGAATCAGGTTCCTATGTTGAGTACACCCAGCGGTGGCAGTGGGAGTGATGGGGGCACAGCACCCTCTATCAAGGAGAGCTGGTCCCACCATCGGGGAGAAAAACCACAATCTATCAGTGTCCAGAAGAATAAAAAATTATATGTATTTTCTACATGTAGACCCTAAAATCGATTAAACAAGCCTTTGAAACCCATAAGTTGTCACATTTGCCGGGAACTGTGCCCCTTGGATCAATTTTTACACATTTTGAGCGATGCCCAACCACATCCACTTTGCTCATGTCAGAGACCCTCCATGGGGGACCTGGGACCTCCCGTTGGGCAAATCCTGGTGCCACCCTTGAGTACAACCTAAGTTTATTTCATTTTGAAATTTAGATTTATGAAAAAACACTTCACAAAGCTTGACAAATAAACAAATAAATCACTTCTTGTTGGTTTTTCTATCAATTCTAAAAAAAAACCTTGTATAAACATGTGTCTGAAAAATAATTTTATGTATATTAACTAATATTTGCTATATATAAATTTGAATAACCAAATTATTTTTACGACTATATTTTTATGATTGCAATGAATTGACTTGACGTACAACAACCTCTCACATTTTCTATTGGAATAAACTTTTTTCGTGCTTTGGTTCTTATAACATGAAGCGCCACTGATAATTACTTCGGTTTTTTAAATGGCGCTATATAAGTTCCTAACTTATTATTATTTTTTCAGCAGTCAATGTAAAGAACATGATATGATTAATTAGTTCTCTTTTGAACTGGACAGAGACGCCTACACAATGTTGAATAAATATACATAAGACTGCATGGGTTACATTCTCAACTATGATATCTCTAACCATGTCATACATGGTTATGTTTCCATGGCAACAACAATGTTGCCATTGGGCATCATTACCATAATTATAATAAAGCTTGGTAAAAAATAATATGTTAAAATGACAGACAAGAATGAGGAATTCATACAGCAGTGATGTATCCTCATAAAAACCATTCATTTTAGTTTTACCATGAAGGTATTATAGTGAACACTTTCATGATTTTACTGCTTTCGTCTTTTAATCTGCGAAAGTTAAGAAATGTTGAAGCTTTTAACTCATTAAACATTTCTTACTATTTATATTTCTTTGGCTTTGGGCAGCTCTTATAACACTGTACTCTTGCAAAGACATTTGAGAAAAAAAAATTGAAATGATTTTCCTATGCCAGAGAAGAAGCTATAACACCCAGTCCAATATCAGAATGGCAGTCAAAATCAGCTTCGCTCCCTTATTACGGGCCCCTCCCACCTATAACAGTCACCGCCAGGCCCCCACAAACTCTGTGATGCCACTGGTTAAATGGTTGTACCTTTCTCACAAATAGGATTTGGTGATAGAAAAGTCATTTTTGTCTAATAAACAAATAATTTCTAAAATAAGAAAATAAATGCACATAAATATTATACCATATCTTTCAAAACGTAAACAATCGTGAGTGACCCTCCTAGCTAAGCTAAAGAAGGTTGTATCTATAATAAAGGTAAAGATATAATATAATATTATTATATAATATACTATAATATATGATATACTGTGTAATAATAATAAATAATAATAAGGTTATCAAAATATAGTAATTATATAATTAATATAATAATTATAATATAATTTTATATTTATTTTTAAGGTACAATAAAGGTAAAGATATAATTTATATAATGTACTGTATTTTTATTATATGGCCATTATGTCTTCAATGCAATGCAATGCATGTTCTCTATGATATACAGTAATCACAAACATATTCTTCAACAAAAAATGTATCTAGTCAGAAACAACTATAAGTCGATGGATTGTGAATGGCATTGAAATGTCAAGGAAGTAATAATGACTAAAATTATATCCCATACATTTGCTACAGTCACAATATATTTTTCAAACATTTCACAATTAATATAGGCCTACTGTACCGTATATTCTTCCATTATATATCTGACAATGTTAAAAAAATATTGTGAAATAACTTAATCTGGTTTCAAATATGTGTTTGCCCTCCAATTCGAGACTTGAAAATTTGGGATGGTCTCGAATTAAAGGGGTCTCAGAGTTAAGGGTCTCTAATTGGAGGGTGAACTGTATCACAAAAAATCTTAATATTGAGATAGTAAAAAGTCTCATCGAAGAAAAATGAGCTTCCAAGATACAGAAAACGTTTGTAACTGTGTTTATATATTATAAAGATACTGTAGTGATAATGAGGCTAATACTAAAATATACATTTTAACTTTTAAAAACTATTTTTTATGATAATGAAACTTTGCTGAAAATTACTGTTTTTAATATTGTTTTGTATTTATGCATTTGTTTTATTCTGTTTCCTTTTTTACATGAATATATTATGTGACACTTGTACTTTGTATATTTCAAGCCAACCAACTGCTTTGCAATAAACATTACTTTGCATCTATATAGCATTTAAAACATATGGTATAGTATACATTTTTGCTTATTGCTAGATCTCCACAATGCAATTATTTTAAGTACTTATTTAATATTTCTTCTAGTGCGGTATTATTTAGAGAAAGAGGGATGATGATGATGATAATTTCCATATTTAGTCAATTTGTTTTCAATGCTTTCTGAATGTTATTGCTGCCTGAGAGAAAAGACAATTACCATAATTACATGTTGTATTCTATTGGAGTTCTCTAATTGGTTTCTGAATTATTACAAGATGTTAAAACGCTAATTATGGTAGAACTGTATTATATAGAACTGTCTTGTTCTATTGTGTAGGGTTTTGTTCTGGATATAACTTGTGAATAGAATGAGAATAGTTGAACCACACCTTTTTCTTCTTTGAAATATTATCATAACTGTAGACCATTTTTATCATCCTCATTGCCATACCATTATATTTATCAATAAAAATCACAGCCATCACCACCTTTGTCCATGTCAGGCCAACTGCAGCAAAATCTTCCACTACAACTTCCAAGACATCACTGCCATTGCTTAAACATAACCAGTTATCTTTATCACTAGCATCACCACCTTCAATGCTACTATCAACTGCATCACCAGCTTATTACCACCAGTATCATCATCATAGCCATTACCATTACCATTGTATTCACCACTATTAAACATCATTGCCATCACAACCTTCATCAAACCACATCAAATAATAATAATAATAATAATAATAATAATAATAATAATAATAATAATAGTACACAATTGATGGAGAATTAACTAATTCAGTGTTTGAATAGTCAGACAGGTAGCCTTCAGTATCAATAAGTTCATAATCATTTCCACTATCAATATTTTTATCATTTACAATTCATCACCTAAACAATTTGATCATTCACATATTTGATGATTATATCTTCAAAAACTGCGCAGTTTGTACATCAGGATCATAATGTGTGCTGAGTGCCAGACGTACAATTTTCAAGTACTTGACGATTTCAAACTGCACGACATGCACACATTCTGTTGGTCAA